CCCAGTGTGATGTCATCTATGCCTACTCCTGTGTGTGCTTGAGTGTGGAGCCCAGTGTGATGTCATCTATGTCTACTACTGTGTGTACTTGAGTCTGGATGCCCAGTGCGATGTCAGGTGGCACCCTGAGATGCTCTCTCCCTTTCAGCATCTGCAGCTGAGCCCAGAGCTTGCCATTTTGGCTCGTTTGGCACTATCGCCAGCTTACTCCAGGGAGTCCCTGTCTCCCAACTGGTGGGATTACAGGCCCCTGGCTTCTTGGTGGCCCACAGTCCATCTTCGTGCCCGTGGAGCAGCCGTTTTCCTCCGGAGCCATCTTTCCAGCATCTGCAGGCACTGCAATAACTGTAACTTGGTGTTGTAGACTTGAGTGGAACTTGAATGCTTTTAACAGAGTAATCAACCGGCTTTTCGGGTTTTGTTTTTCCCCATCCAGGGAGGTGGTGCAAGCCAACTGTGTTCGCTGGAGAAAGAGATTCTCATTTATGTGCAAGATGAGCGCCGGCGCCTCCACCGGCGTCCTGGACCCTTGTGTCTGCAGAGTGTCTGTACGGAAGGTAAGGAAATAGCCCGTTATTGTTAGCTGCAGGCGCTGGCCTGCTTTATCTAGGTCGGCTCTAACGGTAGAACTTCACGCTTAGAGCAAGAAATTAAATCGCTCTAGCAAATATGGTGGCAAACCTGAGGCCAAAAAGCTTTCTTCTCAGAAATACTGCACACATCTGCAGTAGTTTGGGAGTGGGTGTGTCTGTATCCTGTCGTTTATCAAACTCCTAGTCTTTATAAAAAAAAATAATATTGTCATGAATTCTTTGAAACTTTCACACAATGTATTTTGACTTATACTCCTCCTCCAGCCTCCTTCACATACCCCTTCCATCTTCACTGTCCTGCCCACCCAGCTTTGAGTTTCCTTTTTCTTTAGTTTTTTAATCAGTTCAGTTTGTATTGTCCGACTGCTCTTGGGAGTGGGGCCTGCCCTGGAGTGCGGTGCATCACCCTAAGCAAGAGAGGAGAGGGGGCCCGAACTGCCCTTGTCCTGTAGTCAGACTGATGAATATTTCAAATAGCACCAGAGAACCTTCATCCAGCAACTGATGGAAACAGAGGCAGAGACCCACATTGGAGCACTGGACTGAGCTCCCAAAGTCCAGTTGAAGAGTGGGAGGAGTGAGAACATGAGCAAAGAGGTCAAGACCATGATGGGGACACCCACTGAAACAGTTTGCCTGAGCTAATGGGAGTTCACCAACTCCAGCCAGACGGGAAGAGACCAAACTAGTTCCTCTGAATGTGGGTGACAGTTGCATGGCTGGGGCAGACTGAGGGGCCACTGGTGGTGGCACCACGATTTATCCCTACAGCTTGTACTGGGTTTTTGGGAACCCATTCTCTTTGGATGGATACCTTGCTCAGCCTAGATATAGTAGGGATGACCTTGGATCTTCCCCAAAGCAATGTGCCTTACCCTCTCTGAGGAGTGGATGGGAGGTGGAGTGGGGGAAAGGTAGAGGGAATGAGAGGAGGGGAGGAAGTGGGAACTGGGATTGGTACGTAAATAAAAAAAGATAATTTGTTTTCTTTTAAATAAAATAATAAAAAAAAACTGACCATCCCTCTCCCAACCGCTCTCAAATGCCAGTATCTCCCCAAGCAGTCAAGTAGCAGTTGAATTTTTTTCTCCACTCTGCTCCCCATGCTGGGATTTGCCTGGATTGAGCATGTGCAGGTCTTGTGTGTGCTTGCCATGATCTCATGAGCTCTTACATTATCTGTGTGGTGTCTGGAACACACTGCTTCCGTGAAATCGTCCACCACCTCTGGCTCTTGCATTCTTCCTGCCCCCTCTTCCGCATAGACCCCTGAGCTTGTGTGGGTGAAGTGTGCTATAGACGCCCATTTGGGGATGAGCACTCCAAAGTGTCTTATTCTCTGCATATTGACCTGTTCGCGGTCTGTGTTAATTGCCATCTGCTGCAAGAAGCAGCTTCCCTGACGAGTGCTGCGAGGCCCTTATCTGATCTGGAGTTCGGAGCCAGATTCCACCAAATCTCTGTTCTTTTAAAAGGTATTATTCTGGGGACTTCGATCAGTTATGTCTAATAGCAGACCTGGAATTGGATGTCTTTGTCTCTATGTTTAGAAAAACTAAGGTTCAGAGAAATGAAGTAACTTGCCCAAATTTACATTGTTAATAAATGGTAATGGGAAGACTCAAACACAAGTCACCAATCTCTGTCCTTGTTGATATGTATTTTGTTTCCATATATGAGGTTGAGAAGATAGATAATGTATGATCCTGATTTTTTTATAAAAAAAAAAAGAGGAATGCATTAATCATTGCTACTAATGAATTAACCAGCATCTTTAAAATACAAACTTCATACAAACCAAGCATGATAGTGGCAATTCTATAATCATAGCAATTGGAGAGGCAGAGACAGAAGGTTCAAGTTCAAGGCTAGCCTGTCTGGGCTGTCACATGACCCTATCATGTGCATTTTACATTTTATACACATTTTTTTCTGATTTTTTTCTGAAACAAGGGCTCACTTTGTAACTCAAGCTAGCCTGAAACTTGCACGTAGCCTGGGCTTATCTCAAACTCATGACCCTCCTAGCATCTCTCTCCCAAGTATTGGGATTACAGGCATGCCACCGTGCCCAGCTTTACATACATGACCCTCCTGGCCTCTCTCTCCCAAGTATTGGGATTACAGGCATGCCACCATGCCCAGCTTTACATACATATTTTTTAATATTTATTTATTATGCATATAATATTCTGTCTGTGTGTATGTCTGCAGGCCAGAAGAGGGCACCAGACTTCTTTACAGATGCTTGTGAGCCACCATGTGGTTGCTGGGAATTGAACTCAGGACCTCTGGAAGAGCAGGCAATGCTCTTAACCACTGAGCCATCTCTCCAGCCCTACATACATATTTTTTAAGTTACCAGAGTACATGTATATGCTGGCAAAGATACAGACTTAGAATGAGAAATGTGGGTCTTCTTGCTCTTTTCCATTCCAGTCCTGCATCTTTCTAGATCAGATTTAAAAGCTACATTCTTAGATTTGTTGTCCCGCATTTTGAATGAATCAGCAGTGCGTGTTAGATGTGTGTGGCTTTATTCCAACCTTTATGTATTGCTTAATACGCTCAGTTAGAATATAATAAATGCATGTATACAGAAGTGATTTTACAAGTTTTAAGACTGTATAAAAATAGCTGTGTTTGGAGCACTAGTAATTGAGTGGAGACCTCTGCAGAGGAAGTGTGGTACAGGAAAGGCTGACACGCAGTTATACCAACCTGCCACTTAGCAACTGCGAGACCTTAGGCCATGGTGACTCTGAGTCTCTGCATCCAGCCTGATGCTTGGTGACAACATGAAACATCCTACCTTCTTTCCCTTGCTGCCTTGACTGCTGCCTCTGCCCTTTCGTTGAAACTCTCCCGAGCGGAGCTCCAACCATGACACTTGAAGCGTGATGAGCTAGTCTTTGGATTTCAAGAAAAATAAAGCATATAACCAACTTAGAGTAAAGCGTGACTGCAGATTAAATAAACTCAAACTCTGGTAAAACAAACAGAAACTGTAAATGCCAGTTATGTGAGGACATACCTCGAATACACCTTTTATTCATATTATAGGGCTTTGGGATATTCTATTCATTAAGACGTGTCTTAGCTTGCTTCCTTTTGCTGTGATAAACATCATGGCCAAAGCAACTTGAAGAGGGATGGTTTTATTTAGTCTTACAGCATACAGCAAAAGAGAAGTCGGGGTGGGAGCTAGAGGCAGGAACTGAAGCAAAAACCATGGAGGAACACTACTTACTAGTTTGTACCCCGTGGCTTGCTCAACCCGCTTCCATATACACCTCAGCCCAGCGGAGGCTGCTCACAGTGTGCTGAGCCGTGCCCTCCCACACACACATCAATAATTAATCAAGAAAATGCCACATCAGCCCGTCTACAGGCAATCTGACAGAAGTATTTTTCTCAGTTGAGGTTCTGTCTTGTCAGATGACCTGAGCATGTCACATTGACAAGAAACTAACCAGCACACAACATACATGTTAAACTGCTAAAACAGACCCCAAAATTCGAAGATAAAATGGTATAGAAGTTGGTTCAGAACCTGAGATGAAAACAGTAGCTCCGCCATCTTTAGCATATGGTCCCATCTTTAGGTCTAAGAGGGCAGCTCCAGTCTTGTTCTCTCTTGACTAGTGTCATAAAGACAGTGCTGATTCAAAAGCCATGCCTGTGTCTTTTGTATACATCCCTCTGGTTAGAACTTAGTTGTGTGGCCACACCAAACTGAAAGGTTGTGTAGCCGGTAGGTTCTAACGCGTCAGAAGACAGACTGGGAAATCACCAGTAGTCTTCTGTGCCTGGCTACTCGAGGGGGCAAGTTTATTCTATGTTACCTTACGTAACCTTCCCTACATATTGTATAAAGAAAAGAGCAGAGAACTCATCTATTTAAACATGCTGGACATTTTTTTAAAGTCATAAGCAAAGTCATAAATTAGGGGGAATTACTTATGAATCATATCAAAAAACTAATTAATACAGAAAGAACACCTCTACCCAGTATAAAAGAATCAGCAACGCTTAGGAGAAACTGACAGCTGACAGTATGTCCCCCCAGAAAGAAAGTATTTTAAACAAACAATATCCCCAATCTTACACAAATTAAACCTACAAGTAGACACCATTTTGTCTACAGATCTGATAAAGACCAGAGTTTGGGAATGAACCCCGTTGCCTAGACACAGGGAAGCAGTCACCCAATCAATACATCTGTTAGTGCCACCTGTGTGCCAGGTACATCTCTGGGGTCTGGGAAGATGAATAAAGTGGAATGGAGCTCCGGACCTCCTGCGTTTTACTTTCTGGTGAGAACCGGGGAGCAGAAAGCAAAAGTTTAGCAAAATAAAATTAGTTTAGTACCAATAAATTTCACACATAAAAAAGCATGGGGAAACAGAATAATTTAGGAAAGAGTGGTGGGTTAAGAAATTGAGGAAACACCTCTGTTCTCTTCTCCCACCCCAGAACTGTGGCCATGTGGCCACATCTAGCTTTTTAAATGGGTACTGGGCATCTAAACTAGGTATGTCCTCATACCTGTGCAACAAGCGCTCTTTCCAGCTGAGCTATCTCCCCAACACAGGGTGGGGTGGTTGGTTGGTTGGTTGGTTGGTTGGTTGGTTGGTTTTTGAGACAGGGCCTCATGATCCTCCTGCCTCTATCTCCCAAGTGCAGAGAGTATAGGCAATCAGTATATGCCTGATTCATTGGGAGATTCTGATAAGGAGAATCGTGATCCCTTTCCTAAGATCATGCTGCTGCTGCTGCTGCTATGGCAGAAAGTTGACTTTAATATTTCAGAGAAGAAATGCTTAGGTTTGAGGATAGTAGTGTTACACAGAGATGGGCATTATTTTGGGCAACTAGATACCCAACTGAAAGGACAGGATTCTATTACATGGAAAGCAAGAATAGATACTGAAGGTACAGCTAGCTTCTTTCTGCAGAAGCTAAATAAAGGAGTGGGTGCAAGATAGGAGAGGCCGGAGGAACAGCAGCCAGGGAGGCAGCAGGGAAACTGGGCGGATGTGGTGTCAGGGATATGTAGAGAGGAAAATGATGTAAGAAAGGAGGTAAGTGGTCGAACCCATCACATACTCAGCATAGGCAGGAGACAGGGAGCTTTTAGCTTTAATAAAATACAGATCACTGGGAATCCTGAACTACTAGAGAGGGAAATCCAGTTGGAGGGGCTGACAGCAACAGAAAGCAGCAGGTAGAGGTATAAGTCTTTGGAATGTTTGTTTTCTTGTTTTTATTTTTTATTCTTCGCTCATACATTCCATCCGTACTGCACTTTCTCCTCCCTCTACTTTTCCCAGTCCCCAAGAGTCTTTTGAATTTTGACCATAGAGGAACAGCAATGAAAAAAAAAAAAATCAAGCTGAGGAACCAAGGAACACCTAGAGGACATTTCCTTTTGTTTAATAATGGCACTATTAAGGGGTGTGAAGTGACCCAATGAAGAAGAAATTCTGATCGTTCCTATGGAATAAAACAGTGGCAGGAAAGGGGAAGAACCGCAGATATTCATAAGTAATAGTAGAGCTCCTGTAGACTCCCTGGGCTTTATTTAAACTCCTTGGGCGAGAGATAGAAGTGACAGAGAACACTTCAGTATCAGAGTCGCAAAAAAGAGCTATAGTTCTCTCACTAAAAATGTCTTTAAAGGGACTCTAGCGCGGGGAAGTTTGCCTGCCCTGCAGTAGCAGAAGGAAACAGCACCCAGTGTGGTGGGCATTGTTGTAAGAGCTTTACAATCAGCCTTCACAGTGTGCCTTGTCCTAAATTCAAAACTGTGGCCCACAGTCGCGGCCGAGGGACGCTGAGGTGAGATACGTGAGCCCCAGGAGCTCAGGGCCAGTCTGTGCAATGTAGAGAGGCTCCCTACCAAGAACTGACTAAATAAATAAAGCTGCAAGCAGAGTAAAAAAAAAAAAAATCTGGTCATTATTAAGGTGTTGTCGTTGATTTGAATGGTTGGATTTAAGGTCAGTCTGTTTTTATCATCCGTGACATTTGCTGGATGTGCATGTCTACTTCAGAATCATTTGGCTTACATTTAGTCTGAAATCCTTCATCATATAATGTTCTCACAGTGTTTTCTGTATTTGCAGGAATTAAAAGGTGGCAAAGCTTATGCAAAGGTAAGGAGATGACCTCCAACTCTTTTGTAATTCATAGCATTGTTATTGCACTCTGTAGGCTTTTAATGCTTACTCAAGCTTGACTCATTTTAGGTGAAGCAAACTGGAGATTGAATAACTGGGTTTAACGATAAAGTATTGGAATATTCTTTTAGGGGTCTGGAGAAATGGCTCAATGGTGAGGAACTGGCAGTTCTTCCAAAGGCCTCAGGTTCTGTCCCAGCACAGTTGTGACTATGACTCCAGTTCCAAAGGACCCACCCCTCTTCTGGCCTTTTCAGACACTGCATGTACGTGGTGCGCAGACATACATGCATACACATAATAATACCCATACACATAATAAACATAAATGAAACTTTTTTTTAAAAAAAAAGAATATTCTGAGAACTTATTAGGGGCTGTTACCCTCTAGTCTTAGCCTCCCTATAAAGAACATTCTCCGGTTTTCTTGAAGCTATAGCTCACTGATGACACCAAACAAGTAGATCTGAGACATTTCTGCTTTACGATCGGTTAATCCACTGACTAAAGAATGTGGCCAGGGATCTATTATCCCTTCCCCTCTGTGATGACCTGAACATCAGGTGTCTAGTTGCTCAAGTTTTTGTCAGCGCAACTCATTTGTAGAAGAAACCCTAGCTGGTCTCTGTGTGTTATTGAGTAAGAAAGCATTTCGTAGGTGCTCTCAGAGGGCTCTCCTCTATGTTTTACTGAGTGTAACGGAACCATATACCCACCCCAACCATCTGTGGCCATAGGGATGGATTGCGTTGTTAAGTTACACTGCCCACGATATAGCAGTGCGATGGGTCCCTCTGTGTGCTCAAGAATAAGGATGGAGATTGCATCTCTGAGGAAAAGTGAAGTTTGGTGAGGACTGTCAGGGCACTGAGTGTTGGGCAGGCGAGCAGCAAGGTCTACTGTTGCTGGTAGCTGTTCACACACGTCTTTCCTTCTAAAGCTCTGACAACCGTGTTCTCTCACCTTTTGCTGCCCTAGGCTGCGCCCGCACTACTTTCTATTGACAGCCCTGTTGGCCTCCCACGCAGTCTGCTCCCTGTTGTCTAACCCCAGCTTCCCTAGTCCTGCCAAAGTGATCTTTCTAAAATTAAAACGTGATTATATCACTCCCCACTTTTAGTCCTTCGGTGCTTATTCACGGACTGTAAAGGAAATTGGAAGTCTTATAAGCTGGGGAGATCCGTTTTTGTTTACAAAGCGTTCCTTCCACCTCATCTCTTCTGCTTGCCATCCGTGTTCTCTGTCCTCTCTTCTCTCCCCCGCCCCTCATCCTTAGGAGCTATATCGCCCTCACACACTTCCTAGAGAATCTCATGCTATTTTAGCTTCCTTGCCTTGTGACTTGACATCGTGCATGTCTCCCTCCCTCCCCTTGTTCTTTCAAGTCGTGTATCGTTAAAGATTCAGCTTAGTCACGCCTTCCGACTGACAACTTTTCTTCTCCTCTCTAATAATTGTGTCTTCCTTTACCACGGCACTTAGCAGCAGTACTGTAGGAACTTGCTTTCTGCTTTCCTGTATTAAACTATGAAAATAAGAATAAAGGGCCCAAGGAGAGCTCAGGGAAGAGCATGAAATAGGCCCTGGGTTCCATCATCCCCAGCACCAAAAAAGGGAAAAAAATTATCTATTCCTAAATAATGCCTAATGTTACCTGGAATACAAATTTTAACAATTATTTCCTGAATAATTGTTCTACCACAAATGTGATATATACGTAAGGTATATTTATGAGACACATGCCCATATAGATATTCATGTGACAGTTATCTTGGTGAAGCCAAAGAAATTCTTAAGGGAATATGAATTCTCTGGAACCACACTGTACAGTCTGTAATGTGAGTTCTTTGAAGACAGAATATGTTTCCTCTTCCATGGAAGAGTCTGGCATATAAAAAGGACATTGCCATGTCACTTTCCTAACAGGGATTGTCTTATTGGTTGTTTGCTGATATACCAAAGAACAACAGACCGGACGGCATAAACAAAACACATTTAGTTCTCCATTGTAGATGCTGAGGAGTCTGGGGTGGTGATAGCAGCAGCTCTCGTATCTGTGGAGAGTCTGCTTCCTGGTTTGCAGAAGACACGCTTCTCAGTGTGTCACCGTGTGGCAGATTGCAGAACGCGGCTGCAAGTTCTTTCCTGTTTAAAGTTCATTCCTTCAGACCTTAGTGCACAGCTCAGCGGTAGAGCACACACTAAGACATGTGCAAGGCCCTGGCTTTGGTCCCCAGCGCCTAAAGGGGAGGGATGCATTCCTGAGGGCTTCAGTCTCAAGGCCCAAAGCCCCCACCACTCTATACCATCCTGTTGAATGTTAGACTTTCAGCGTATGGATTCTGGAGAAACAGAAGCATGCAATCCATAACAGAGATCCTTAGTGACGGTATAAAATCAATATCACAACAGTAGGTGGTGAGTTAGATGGACAGCTAGCCTTTATTAAGACTCCTTTATTAGCATCTGAACCCTGATATGAATAGAACTGAAAAATACTAGGTTATCTAAGAGAGTGAGTTCAAGAGCATTAATGGCCTTGAGTTGACCTTGGATGAACTGGGAAGGAGGAAGTTCATTTGGCCAGATGGTCAGAGACAACTTTTTACAGAAGTGTTGTTTCGTGTGATTTTTTTTTCTTTATTTTTGTTTCGGTGGAGGATGAACAGAAAAATAATTCAGTGATCTGGAGAGATGTGGGACAGGTTTGGTTGGTTGCTTATGACAGGAGAAAATCCAGGATGTCTGTGTGCCGATGGGAATGGTCTAGTGAGAAGGAGTGAATCAGAGTGCCAAACCGCAGGGAAACTGCAGCATAAACGCGATAGGCAAGAGCTGCAGGAACACAGCCACATCCTCTGCATGTAGCATGTGAGTGGGAAGGCAGTACAGGACCAGGCGCAGGTGGGCGAGTGCCTGCTGCTGGCAGTAAGAGCTTATGGGAGTTAAGTTCCCTTGACCGCCTGGGTGAAATAGACAACAAGGCCCTCAGCAGGGAGACAAAATGGGAGACCTGCTGGAGCTCTCGAGGGAGAGAGTGTGCGAGATAGCTTGTGTTGATAACGGGTGGTCAGATAGGTCACATGTCTTCACACGTTCACTCAAATGTTCCTCTGCGTGATCCTATCCTGGCTTTTCCTCCTATGTTGCTCCACTAGAAGGCAGTAAGACCAGAGTAACCGTGTGGAAATTAGGCAGCTGTGCCTGTGTCTTGCTGTGTGCCTGATTTCCTGCATTGGGCTTACATGATTCTCTGAGCTATTTTCTTTGTTCTTTTCACAGCAGTTAAAAACTACTGAACTAGTAGAAGCAGGGGCTCTCTCTGACTCTGATGTCTGTTTTGGGGACCCTTTCCTCCTACCGGATTGCCTCGCCCAGCCTTAATAGAAGAGGAGATGCCTAGTCTCATTGCAACTTGATTGCCCATGTTTGGTTGATAGCCATGGGAGGCTTGCCCTTTTCTGAAGAAAAATGGAGGAGGAGTAGATGGGGGGGTGCGGGAAATATGAGGAGAATCCTAGGAAGATAGGAGGGAGGGGAAACTTTGATTGGAATGTAAAACAAAAAATAAAAAATTAATTTAAAAAAAAAACCTACTGAAATAATGTTCCAATATGCAATTAAAACCACCCTCTTGCATGTCCCTGAAAGTGGGTCTATGGAGATGGCTCATAGGGAAGATGCTTGCCACACTAGTGTAAAAAACCCGACTTTAGACCCCCTAGAATGTCTTGCTACAGTGAGATGGGAAGAGAAGACCGGAGAATCCCTGCAGGCCAGGTAGTCTAGCGTGCACAGCACAGTGACAAACGACAAAGAGACCCTGCCTCGAACGTGGCAGAAGGTAAAGACCAAAGCTTGAGGTTGTTCCCTGACCGCTGCACATTCACTGTTGGGCGTGCATACTTATGTGTGCACATACATACCACATACATTATACACACACAAAAACCTGAAACAACCTCAGCAGTGTTTGAAACGTATTATGCAGTTTATTCTGCGTTCATAGAGATGTGTTTAATTTGCTTTTTGTTCATGAAAATTGTATGCACTTAGTAACGTAGAAGTAGGCTACTAAAATAACAGTGATCACACTGGAACGGTGAACGTGGGCTGAGCAACATCAGAGGAGAGACTAGAGCAAGCTCTGCTAAAGGCAGGAAATGGCATTTCTGGGTAGTAATGTGAAAGAGGAAGACATTTAAACTGAACTGGGTAGCAGCAGAGAGGGTAGGTGTGGGACAGAAGCTGCAAGGGAAGCAGCAGTTTCCAGAAAGAGTCAGGATAAAGTGAAGGATGCCTAGCAGGAAGAGGGGAGGAGAAGGTGCCCCCACTAAAGAAGCGAGGAGGCTTACTGGAGTTCTCTTGTGGGTGTGTGGAGAATGAGAATTTAACCTGTAATGATCGGAAGGCCCCAACGGCTAACGCAGCATAGGACCAGGTCCAGAATCGAGGGGTCTGAGCGGCTGTACGTGGCTGCGCTGTGCGTGGCTGCGCTGTGCGTGGCTGCGCTGTGCGTGGCTGCGCATGAGCGCAGCTGCTCATTATCCCCGCAGTGAGGCGTGAGTGTAGGTGTTACTGAGAGGAATGTTGCTTTTTGATGTGCCTTAGCAGTGCTGTCACAGCCATACAAACGTTTGTAATTCTAAAGTGTAAAGAAACATATTCGGCACAGCACAGCAAACCTATGATAAAAGATGAATAGAATAGGTAGTGGATTTCTATTAAAAAGTGGCTAAATTAAGGAGCCTGGTAAAGCAAGTGATAAAGCAGGTAGTGGGAAGAAAGAACTGAAAGGTTTGAGAAAGCTCACGGGTTGGGTGTCTATTTTAAGGAGCTATGGTAGAGCCTTCTAGATAGTCTATTAATATGATTCTCTTTCTTTTCATAGCTGGGCTTTGCAGATCTAAACCTGGCAGAGTTTGCCGGATCAGGAAATACCACCCGCCGCTGTTTACTGGAAGGCTATGATACCAAAAATACAAGACAGGACAATTCCATTCTCAAAGTAAGCACTCTTCAAGATTTACATGGCGATAAAAGATGTTCTGCCTGTAGCTAAGCACAGGTGTCTGTTGTTATGGATACCGTGGGATTCCATACTGAGGTCGTGAGCCTCCATAGCAGTAGGGAAAGACCCTTCCAAACCTTAGAAGCAGTGAAAAGTAATGATCCTCGTTAGGGTCCAGTGTGTTTCTAACTGGGGCTGTGGACAAATACACCACCACCACAACCGAATGCTTGTTGGGAAGAGGAAACATGATGCCTGGATACATGGCTTAAAATACGGATAGCCTATAGGTTAAGAGTACCTGCTGTATAACCACGAGGAGCTGATCCCACCCCAGCTGGAAAATGCAAGCTCCAGCTAAGGGAGAGACCTTGCCACAAAGAAATAAGGCTGAAACTGAAAGGAGGACTTCTGATGCCCTCCCCTGCCTGGGTTTTGTGTCTGCACAGGCATGTACACGTTTGCCCATATGTGCATTGCACACGCATGCATACACACACACACACACACACACACACACACACACACACATCTCAAGAGAATGTCCTAAGAAGCTGTGATGTGTTTGTAGAGGTCACTGGGTGCTCTTGTAGACAGTGAAGTGGCAGGCAGACCCATTCATGGACACCTGTCTTATTTCTCCAAATCTCGTGTGTTCAGGTAATCACAGGGAATATATACTTCATGAAGGTGATGAAAACATTAAATGAGATACATTGGAAAAAATAGTCAGAAAATATTTTGTACCTAGGAGAATCTTTGCTACATTTTATTGAATTAGTAAGTTACCTAATAAGAAGAAAGATCAATATTTCTTATTTGGTAATAATTTGGTTATTAATTTGGTAAAATTCAAATTTTACCAAAGTTAGTAAAGTGAAGAATAACTTTATACCTACAGTATAAGCTTTGTTTTCAGCCATGGATATACAGAAATTCATGAACTGGTTATTACAGGCAGACATCCCTTGCACACATCAGCAGCGTTAAAAAAGGTAGGATGGGCACTTGACGTGGAGAGGAAAATGATAAAGGAGATGAGGAAATGTCAGGTATGGTGGTGCACACCTATCATTGCAGCACCTTGGAGACGGAGGCAGTGATGATCAGGGGGTCAAGGCCAGCCTTAGGTACATAAGGCCCTATCTCAAAAACCAAGGTAGTAGCCAGGCGGTGATGGCACTTACCTTTAATCCCAGCACTCAGGAGGCAGAGGCAGGCAGATCTCTGTGAGTTTGAAGCCAGCCTGATCTACTGAATGAGTTCCAGGACAGCCAGGGCTACACACAGAAACCCTGTCTCAAAAATCCAAAGCAAACAAACCAAGGTAGGAAAAGGGAACATTAAAAGAGCAACATCCTATAAACTTCAAGTCTACTTGATTTTGTTGTTATATATCTCCAAAAATATTGCAGGGCCCTTGCACACTGGCATGTCTAGATAGATGGTGTCTCAGTAAGGCTTTCTATTGCTGTGAGGAGACACCACAGCAACTCTTATAAAGGAAAGCATTTAATTTCAGCTGCCTTACAGTTTCAAAAATTTAGTCCATTATCATCATGGTGGGGCATGGCAGTGTGCAGGCAGACAAGGTGCTGGAGAAGTTGCCAAGAGTTCCACATCTTGATCCGCAGGCAGCAAAAGGAGACTGTCACACTGGCCAGACTTGAGCTTATAAGGCCTCAAAGCCTGCCTTCACAGTGACACACTCCCTAGTCCAACAAGGCCACACCCAATACTGCCACTCCCTATGGGCCAAGCATTCAAACACATGAGTCTATAGGGGCCATTCCTATTCAAACCACCACAGATGGGGAACAGTTTTCATCCCTGTTTTATAATGGAGAAAGTGAGCCTCAGGAGGTTAGGTGCCTTCTGTAAGAGAAGCAGTGAGTGACGGAGCTGAGGCCAACATGGAGGCTTTTTCACATTATCATGCCCGCTCTTCCCCATTTTCAAAACCCACCGACTGTACTGTTCATTGTATATTTCTTACTTTAAGAAACAAATAACCCATCTCTGAATAACACTGCTTTGGCATGCGTGTGTGCATACATGTGTGTGAGAGAGTGTGTGTGTACGTGCATGTGTGTCCTCTTCTTTGGGACAAGCTTTTTAATTTTAAGCAGTTGCCCCTCCTCCCACCACCATCTCCTGCGTTCCCAGCCCTCTTGGTTGTCTCACACAGCTGTCTTCACCCCGAACCCTTCCTTTCTCATGAGCTGCCAGGCCTCACTTGCTTCCACTTCCCCCTTACTAGCTTAGAGTGCAGAAGTCATGATTGTCCTGCTTGAATTACTGCTCCGGGTTCCTTTGCCTGTGGCTGTCCCTGAAGACCTCCAGCGCTGCTTGGTTTGCCTGTGTGCCCTCCTCGAGTCTGTGTCCCGAGCGGGGCACTACTGGAGGGCACACCGACGAGTGGGCACGTCTGGAATCACATAGACGAGCGGGCACGTCTGGAATCACACAGACGAGTGGGCACTTCTGGAATCGGGCTCACCTCCAGCTGGCGGCCACCCTCTGCCCCCATCCCAGTTTCGATATTCGCCATCCTGCCATACATTTTTTCCCAATGTAGGTCACACCCCGTGTTTCACCCCAGCTAAGCTTCTCCTTCACTGAAAAGACAGAGTTCATGAGACTCACATCCCCTCATCATCCAGCATAGGGCTTACCCCTCTGCTTGTCTCTCCAGTCTTCCCGCAGTGCATGGTGCTGTCTTGCCTATGGTCACAGGGATGACATGACCCTCTTCCTGTGAGAAGTCAGTCCTTCCTCTTGGCCTCTAGAATCCACGCAGGCATAACCAGAGAGCTTTCTCCTTGGACCGTCTGCTCTTAGTCTTGTCTCCCTTTAGTGAGCCGTCCTTGTCAGCACACAAAGGAACAGCTGTAACATACGCGTTTCTTAAGAACGGAGCTCACGCCACCACCTCTCATCGCTGCCCCGCGTCTCTGTTCTGCCTCACGGCACAATTTCTCCGTCCCGAGACCATCAGATAGTCACAAGTGCTGTCCTGTAGAGATGGGGACCAGATGGGAGGAAAGAAGAGGTAGTCAGAGAACCAGCACAACAGGGTAGCTGAGACTTAAGGACAGCAATGACAGAAGAAGGGACAGTCATGGGGGGTCCTGGGTAAAGAGGTATGAATGAAATAAAGTCGTAGAAGATGCTTGTCAAACCTTAGCTGGAAAGTGTGCAGTAATCCATGTGTGTCCGTGTGTGTCCTGTTTGTCATTAAGACTATAAACTCGGTGAGTGTGGTCCGGGTTCTGCCCTGTGCCAGCTATGTAATTCAGAAAATATCCCCTGATCTCTGTGGTCTCATACTGAGAGTGTCACTCTCCCACGGGAGTGCTGAAGATGAAACGAGATGACGTGTCGAAAACACATAGTTTATATCTGGAACGGAAGTTCCCAAATCACCAGGGTGGTGCTGCATGTGTGTAATCCCGGCACTCCGGGGACTGAGACAGGAAGATCGTAAGTTCAAGGTTATCCTTGGCTACGTAGCAAGTTTGAGGTTAGCCTGGAATGCTGAGACTTTCTCAAAGAGCCAAAACAAAATATTTGCAAGTCACTATCATTGTGAATTTTCTCATAAGGATGTGATTTGGGGGCTGGGAATGTTGCCTGGTTGGTAGGAAGCCTGCCTAGCATACACAAAACCCTGGGTTTAGTCCTCGGTTCAAGACCACCCCATGACACATAGTGAATTCGAGGTCAGGCTCTCTCAGAGGAAAACAAAGTGAGATTGTCCTGTAGTGGATTCTTTAAAGTTACTTAGCAGCCAGGGACTATCAGCATCTCGGGAAGAAACAGCAAGGCTTTAGTGCTGATTCAGAGCTGGGGCAAAAGCTCTCTGCCCTTTAGAGTCCTGAGCACGTATCCCATAAAGCATCAGCCTATGGAGCTGAAGGGCCTGGTTATTAAATACTTGCACCCCACAGGAGTCTGCAGTAAACGCAGACAAACCAGACACAGACACTTGCTAAAGCTAGAAGGATTAGTACTGGGGAAGTGCTTACTTTTTATTCTTATCTTTTCCACAGAGTTTTCAACATTAAAGATGATTTTTAATCCATGTCTACGTAAAACAGTAATTGAATATTGGACACACCCTCATTAAACATTTATTTTTCTTAATGCTTTCTAGATAGAAAATATAGGACTAGGTGTCAGTCAGGTGGTGATAGTGGTGGTGGTGGTGGTATGTGCCTTAATCCCAGCACTTGGGAGGCAGAGGCAGGTGGATCGCTGTGAGTTCGAGACCAGCCTGGTCTACAAGAGCTAGTTCCAGGACAGACTCCAAAGATACAGAGAAACCCGAAACCCTGTCTCGGGTTGGGGATGGGGAAGAAAAGAAGGAAGGAAGGAAGGAAGGAAGGAGGCAGGCAGGCTGGCTGGCTGACTAGGTGTCTTGGAGAAATACAGACGAGCAAAAGCTGGCTTCTCGAGAACTCTTTTATAATTGTGGCACTTGTTTCTCTTTTGTTTAGGTTTTGATCAGTATGCAGCTGATGTCTGGTGACCCATGTTTTAAAACGTAAGTTGATAACCAGGAAATGGATTATCTGCAGCTGTGATGCAAATGAAGCAAGTTTGTAGGCAGACAGCTCCTTTCATGCTAGACTGACCTAGCTGGCACAGAAGCGACTGTTTTCTATTACCAGGGAAGCTCACTACTCCCAAAATGATGCAAGTTATGGATCTTTGCCACCTCTGGGTTTTCGGGTTGAAGGTGAAATTATACAAGCTGAGGTTTGAATTCGCTTGCTGTTTTCCTCAGCAGGTACTCAGTAGGTGCCTCGCAGTGTGTGGGAGCGCATCCTAACCTTCAGTGAGCAAAAGGCACTGCGTTCCACCACCTTAGAGCTCAGAGTGTAAGAAACAGCCAAGTCGTGACGAACAGCAAAGGAGCCTGGGAGCAGATGCTCTGATGAGGAGTTGCAGGGGGGCAGGGCCACATAAGAGCTGTTGTGTATGAGTATCAGGGGAGGGCTCCCTGCTTAAGATGACATTCGAGTAGAGACCTGAAGTAGGAAGCAAGTCACGTGGATAATTTCGGGAAAGAGTACTCAAGATGAAGGGAAGACGGAGCAAACCCTTGACGGGGCACGTTTCCCAGCATGCTCAAGTAACTGCCTGGAGTCCCAGGTCTCAGGAGCAGAGGGAGCGGAGAGCTTGGTAATAGGAGGTGAGGTCAGCTGGTCACCTTGTGGGCCATTAGAATAAGGGCTCCACTATGCCTCTGAATAAGATCAAAGGCTCCAGAGGCTTCAGGTGAACAGTAAATGCTCTTACTATGCAAGGTAGAAAAGAGCCACTCTGAGAGAGGGTGATGGGGACGGGGCCAGAAGAGGTGGAGTGGGTGGCTGTTCCATTAGTGAATGTTTCTCTCCTGAGAGGCCGCAAAAGGAACAGTTCAGAGCTCAGATATAAGACACAGCAAAACCCACATCTGAAAAGGGAACTTATGAAACATTCGGTGTGGTCCAAACTCTTACCTTACGAATCGAATGAGGAGACTGAGACAGAGCAACGTCTGTGTGGAGCCGAAGCTCAATATCTCTGGAGAGGTGGGCGCCCTGCTCTGCTGGGGAGAGGTGCGCGCCCTGCTCTGCTGGGGAGAGGTGCGCGCCCTGCTCTGCTGGCTGCGGTGTTGGCGTGGGAGCCCTGCTCTGCCGGCTGCGGTGTTGGCGTGGGAGCCCTGCTCTGCTGGCTGCCGCGTTGGCGTGGGAGCCCTGCACACGGCACTAGATATTACAGGGGCAGAGAGTGGAGGGCTGGAAGTCAGAAAGTCCTCACTGAGGGGGTGGCCCTGGCTGTGTACTGATGGCTAAGAATGTACTAAGCGTGGAAGGCGCGCAGAGACGTTCCAGGAAGAGGAAACCATTTGCACACACATAGGGCACTGTTATGGTGCACGGGATATTTGTGGAACATCCAGCAGGTAAGGTCGTCCTTTCAGGTGGTCATTTTAAACGGACTCCGAACATTACTTTAAAATTAAAATAATCCCCATCTCTCTAATGTGCAATTATGCTATATCAAGAGATCCTGACAAAGACTATTACACATTTTTGAACAAGGGGAGTACTAGAACAGAACCAGCACCCAGTGGACCCTCGGTGGTTAGCCCCTGAACTATGTCACCCTGGGCAGCGGAACTGCAGCAGCCTAGTTAAGATTTCAAATTCTGAGTCTGCTGTACTGACAGTCCCATGGTCAGCTTCTTCTGTCTGAATGCTAGTTGCCGCTCTCCTAGAGCCCTCAGCAATAACTCCCAGTTCTTCGAGACAGCAGGGCAGGAGTCATGGTAGCGTTAGGTGTGTTGTGGCTGCAATCGCCTGTGGGAGGAAAGACCACTGACATTTAAGACTTGAGGCCTGCAGAAAGCTCAAAGCAGTCGCTGGTGATTTATGACCGTTATTGGAGACTCCATTCTTTGCGTGAATCTTTTATATGGTTTTCCTGTGAAATACTCCATGGAGTTTTACTTTGGTTTTTAATCAAGTTCTTTATGTTTTTCAAACATGTAACTCAGCTGGTCCTGGTGGTACAAGCCTGGAATCCTAGCACTCAGAAAACTGAGGCAGGAGGATCTTCATGAGTCCAAGGCCAGTCTGGACTACAAGCCAACCAGGGCTACAGAGCAAGATCATGTCTCAAAAAATATACCCCAATAATATCACAACAAAATCAAAATACAGCTATTGGTAACCAAGGAGGTTGGTCTAAGTCAGACTGTAAAGAACCTTGGGTGTCAAGCCTGGAATTTGAGCTTTGTCCCAGAGGCACTATTGAAGGATTGCCTTGGCTTTAAGACAGGGGCTCTCATAGCCAGAAGTCCACAAGGCAGGGCTTTTTCTGTTCCCATTATTTTATTGTATAAAAGCCTTTTCCCACAGGCGGGAGAGATGGCTCAGTAGTTAAGAACCAAAGTTCAGTTCCCAGCACCCATATCAGGCGGCTCACACTCATCTGGAACTCTAGCTCCATGGGATCCAGCACCCTCTTTCAGTCCCTGTAGGCACCTGCATATGTGTGCACGCACACACATGTACATAGATAAAAAATGAGATCTTTATGTAAAAATCTCTCCCACATTTATTATTTGTGCTTAGGGTTCTAAAAGACGCTTGTGTATCATTTAATGGTTTTTATTTCATCCTCAGAAGGCTAACTCTCATAAGCAGCTCACTAAGGCCAGGTACTGACCACACTGTGAGTCTAACCGTAGTTTAGACCTTCAAGTTCATACGTGATTCAAGATCTGATCCCTACACCGTCTATTTACAGACCTCCCTCCACATCCATGTCAATCCCGATCGCTGGAGAATCGGAGTCTTTGGAAGAGGATCGGAAAGGTGGAGAGACTCTCAAAGTGCATCTCGGAATAGCAGGTATGGGTATATAGCTTCCTGAGCCTTTAATTTCTGAAAAACAATACTATTTAATTTTCTAATAGATTCTTAAACCTTGAGGGGCTGGCAGAATGACTGAGCAGGTCAGGGTACTTGCCACCTAGCCTGATGACCTGAGTTTAATCCTTGGAATCCACACAGCTTAAGGAGAGAACAGGGCCTGGAGAGATAGATGGCTCAGCAGTTAAGAGCACTGGCTTAACTTTTAATAGTTCTTCCAGAGGTCCCGAGTTCCATTCTCAGTGACCATCTGGTGGCTCATAACCATCTCTAGTAGGATCTGGTGCCATCTTCTGGCATAAAGGTGTCCATGTAAGTAGGACACTCATAAACATAAAATAAATAATTTAAAAGAGAGAGAACCAGTTGTCCTCTGACCTCCACACACATTCTGTGGCACATACATGTCTACACACACACACACATACACAAAAATAAATAAATTTAAAAAGTTCCTCCAACCCACCCACAGGTAACTGTGTATGCATGCACTCATGACTTGAAATGGACCAGCTAGAATGCTGGTTGAGCCAGGACTTACTTGCCTGTCTAAGGGAATGTGCACCAACACCGGCGGCTGAATGCTACGCTAACGCTGCCTCTCACTAACTGCATCTCCTCCTCACAAACACAAGAACCGCCAGTTTTTCCCATTCCTCCTTCATGCCGGGCACATCCGCCTGTCAGCTCTCTGGTGCTGCTTCTCCTTTTCTTCCTCTTCGGTTTGCTCCTCAAGCCTCACTGGGCATTGGGTTTTCCTGGCGGGGGGGAGGGTGTTTAAACATACCGCTAGCACCAGCAGCCAGTTTTGGATTTGGTCAATCCAGGATGGTGCCTGGAACTTTCTAATGTACACCAGTTCAGCTCTGCTGGTGGTGGTGGTGATTCCAAGCACACTTTGAGCCCATTTCCCTAGACATCTTCCAGAAGAGGCAGAATCTACTGTGGTTGCTAAAAGCAGGGTAGGCAAGGTGCCAACCTAGCCGCAGGAAAAGGACATGAGGAACAGGGTGTATTGTTGGAAAGAAAGGTGAAGCGCTAGAATTAACATTTACACTACCTTTCCAAATGTGCATTGATGGGGTTTCTTATAAATAATTTTGGGTATGGATTTCTTGATTTAGGATCAGCTAGTCTTATGAATACTGTTAATCTTCCCATTAACTCCTCGCTCAGCCCTTAAATATCCTGAGCTGTTGGCTATACTGAGAAAATATAAAGTAGGCCTTATTGTCCTTATAATAGGAATATATCCATCTTCTCTGTCTTCTGTTGTCCTCTAGACTCCAGCAGTTCGTTGTTAGATAAATAGACAGACAGGCAAGAAGGCAGACAGACATGGAGACGTATCATCAAGAGAGTGCGCATTTGACGCATACATCCCAGTTATGTAGACGAACTTCGAGAAACCAATACTGCTTGGATTCATTACTGTGATAAAAGAACGTGAAGGGTGCTTGGACTCACGGTTCCAGGGGGTGCAGTCTGTTGCTGTGGGGAAGTCACGGTGAGAAGGGGGTGTCTGGTCACATTGCACCCCAGTCAGGAAACAGAAAGATAAATGCTGGTTTCCTCTTTCCCTTTGCTGTTCGGTCCAGGACCTCAGCTCGGGCTCGGCTCACAGTCGGAGTGGGTTTTCACTCCACAGTTAAGCCTTTCTGGAAACCCCCTCACAGACATGCCCTTAGGTGACTCCTGGTCCAGTCAGACTTACAGTGAGAGCTAGCCATCCCGCTGCCCGTCCATTGGTAAACTCGTTTACAGTGTAGTTTGTGTCCTGTCTTGATGTCTACAGATCGCCAGATCCTGTGGCCCTTTTTCCCATTCTCATTTGACTCAGCCACTAAATCAGTTCTTTCTTGGCGTCTTCCCTTCCTTTGTCTCCTACCTTCGGCACCTTTGCTCTTCTTGCTCCTTGCTTCTTGAGCAAGGAAGATGGCTCAGTGAGTAAAGATGCCTGTCGCCAATCCTGATGACCCAAGTTCAACCCCTAGGATCCCCTGGTGGGAGCAGATGTTTGCCTTTAGCTAGTTAGCTAGTTGTCAGCTGGCCTGGCCTCCATGTGTGTGGTGCACATACACACACACAATTAAATAAGTAAATGAATAAATGTAATGAATTTTTTAAAGCCCAGAATCCATTAATAGTTGCTGCCTACTGGCAGAGGGAGAGGAAGTTTCTTCAGGGGTGTGGCCGCTCGGAGGCTACCCATGCTCCCGTAGATGGTTCTACACTCATGCACATAGAGCAAGCATCAAAGGGATTCAGTGGGTTTCAGAACAGAGTATGTTAAGTATGTTAAGTTGGTGGGAAAAGTGATAGAAAAATACAAGAGGAATTGGAGAGGAAAGAATAGACGGTGAGGTTGATCAGAACATTTTGTGCATGCATGAAATTCTCAATAACAAAAATTAAAGAGAAAATTCCTTAAAGTGGCAGCGCTGTAGCTGTGGGGTAGAGCATTTGTCTGTGTGCTTGAGGCCAGGGTTCAGTCCCCAGTCCTCAGAAAACATAAACTGGGCATAAGAACACCCCCACCTCCTCTCCATCGTTGCTGTTCCACAGGGATTGGTCCCCTCTACTTTGTTTCCTGGGCAATGTCCTCTACGCCCCTGGATTTAACTGTCTCATAAATATGATGTGATTGTATAAAGTACGTTAAATACTTTCCACTCACGAATATGTGTTTCCAAATGTTTGGGGGAAGGTCCACTTCAGGCTCATCTTTCTCCCCAGCCAGACTGTGGGTCCTTTGTGATCGAGTCTTTATACATAGACCAGGGACGGTCAGAATGTGATGAGCATTGCCTGCCAGTGTCACAGGCTCGGTGCAGATTTGCCTGACTCTTCCTCCTCCTGCTCAGGCATCCTGACACACATTCTGCTCGGTAGCTGGATCCCGCCATCGCTCACTCCCAGCTGGCTTGCTCTAAAGACCTTCACTCTCCACCCCAACCTGCTTCTCCCTTTACAGAGGTGATCTTCACAGAACGTAGCCTGCAGTGGCACGCAGGCTTCAAGTCATTCAAGTATGTCTTTCATTCCGCTCACCGAACGGTCTTCATCGGCTGCCCTGTGCTCGCCGACGGCCTCTTTTCCTGTCGGTCATCTCCCCGCTGCTCTGTGTGCCCACTTCACCAAACCATTTGCCGCTCTCCAGGCCTGTTGTGCCCTGTGCCCTTCCCTCCTCAGCGAGCTGAAAGTTCCTGGGCTAGCCTCCTCTCCGAGGTCTCCTCCCATGTAGAATTAGATGCATGGGTCTTTGGAGCCCTTAATACCTTCTTCTGGTTAATGCCAGACACATTTGCTTCTATCTCTGAATTTTGAACATGTGTCCAGTGCCTCAGTTTAATCTATACCACAGACAACTGATTTGATAAGAGGTTAATAAACTTGTATACGGATTGAATGCGTTTTGGAAACTAGAGGACAAATGGCTGAGATCTGAGCCAAACACTGGGGTAGACTTTGGTGTGTACAGGAATCTCTATGAACTGTCTGCTATGGAGGATTTTGTTGGAGCTAGCCTTTGGGTTTAGGGCTGCTGTAGATCCACGGGACCCTTGCAGTCTGCCCGGACATGGTAAGTCTTTGCAGAGGACCAGGGGCCGGCTTGTTTGGCCGCATCTGCTGGCCGGACTGCGCACCATCTGTCTCACTTGAGAACCGCTGTGGTAGCTCACTCCGCTGCTTCCCTTCTAAGTTAATGACAGTTCCGGTTTCCAAGCGTTTTACTCTGATGCTAAGCAGTCACAGGTCTGCCATCTGTGGAGCTTGACCGGGTCTACAAATACATAATTGTTATCTAGACAACGAACGTGATTGGGGGCTACTAGAAACAGTGTTGAGACTGCTTTTGTCTATTTACTTTCAAACTATGTACTATTATCATGGGTTTTTTTTTACTTTTTCTGAATTTTTATTTATTCTATTTTTTAGTGTGTGGGTGTTTTGCTTGTGTGTATATCCACACATCATATGCATGCAGTGCCTATAGAAGCCAGAAAAGGATATTGGTTCCCCCCTGGAATTGGAGTTACAGGTGGTAGTGAGCTGCCATGTGGACGCTGGGAACTGAACCCGAGTTCTCTGGAAGAGCAGCCAGTGCTCTAAGCAGCTGCGCCATCTCCAGCCTTGAGACCAGTTTCTTAAGAACTGTCATCCTGGGTAGTACACTCTGTGTTGTGTTGATAAGTTGCAGCATTGCCCCCCTGTATAGACTAGCACTAGGAAGGCTGCCATTGGAGCACTAAGGTACCTTTAGTTCACTACTGATGAATTCTGAAGATGTAAGATCTCCCCAGTATCACCTAAAAACAAAACAAAAAACACTAACGTGGCAGGACATGGTGGTGCACACCTGTAATCCCAGCACTTGGGACATCAAGGGAGGAGGGTCAGGAGTTGAAGGTCAGCCTCAGCTACTGTGTGGGTCTAAGGATAGCTGGGGTTATATGAGACCTGGTCAGAGAGAGAGAGAGAGAGAGAGAGAGAGAGTTATATGAGACTCTGTCAGATACATATATATATATATATATATATATATATATATATATATATATATACACACATACATACAAATATACATACATAGATGAGAATAAAAACACCAAAATCCATCAGTTTCATGAGAATTTGCAAGAATAAGACTGAGTTTTTAGAGAAATGTTGAACACACACACACACACACAACTAATGGCTTTAAGACACACTGCTAATAAACATTATGAAAGAACCTAACTTTGCAGTGAACTGAGGTATTCAGGTATTCTTTTATTTCTTGCGATGTGCTTGTTTTCATTGTGCCAACTTGAAGGAAGCTATCACTTTATAATTCATTTTCCTTGGTTATAAACTTGCGAAGTAATAAAAATCTGCAGGTTAGAATACAAATTGGACATTGACTTGGTGGTAATAATAACATCACGTGACTTGTTGCAGATCTTTCAGCAAAGAGTGCCTCTGTTCCAGATGAACTTGGTGCCTGGGGACATTCTAGAACATCAAGCTATGCAAGCCAGCAGTCCAAAGTATCAGGTAGTGGCCCACAGTGGGATTCCACTCCTTGTTGTTCTGGGGCCGTGGTTCTCAACCTTCCTGACGCTGTGACCCTTTAATATAGTTCCTCATGTTGGGTGAACCCAACCATAAAACTTTTGTTGCTACATAAGTGTAATTTTGCTACTGTTATGAACCATAATGTAAATATTTTTTGGAGATAGATGTTTACCAGAGGGGTTGCAGCCCACAGGTTGAGAACCACTGTTCTAAAGGGACTTGAAGCCAGGTGTGGTAGTACACACCTGTTAGCCTAGCGATGGAGAGACTGGGAGAGAGAAGGATGGCAAGTTTAAGGCCAGCCTCTGCTTGCTGGATAGCAGGTGCCTGTCTTCAAACAAGATAAAATTTAATAATGAACTTGAAACTACTGTGGTGCAGGATAAAGAAACTGCATCTCAGAGATGACAGATGGTTCAGTAAAGTGCTTGTCACACAAGCATGGGAACCTGAGTTCAGTCACCAGCACTCACATGGAAGTCAGACACGACAGTCCATGCCTGTAATCCAAGCACTGGAAAGAGAGAGACAGAAGGATTTCGGGAACCACTGTAGCCAAGCCAGCAAGTTCTAAGCTCCATGAGAGATCCTGTCTCAAAAATAAGATGGCCAGTGACAGAGAATACCCCATCAGCCACTGGCCTTCATACACACACTCACACACGTGCATCTGCACACGCATGTGCATCTACACACATATCTATGTGCACCCATACCAACATGTGTACACACACAGAAAGAAAAAGTTAGACTGAGTGTGTCTGATAGTGTTGATGTATTCACAGTGGTTTGCCCTCCGGCAGGGTATAGCACGGGTCACTCCCGGTCGTCCAGTTTCTCCGAGTTCTGCCACAGAAGAAATACCTCAGTGGGCAGCACATCAACAGGGGTTGAAAGCATCCTGGAGCCATGTGACGAAACTGAGCAAACCACAGCTGAACCGACTCTTGACCCAGCCGATAAAGAAGAAGACGCTTCTGAGAAAGCCTCCAGGTACCCTCCCACGTGGTGACTCTGTTTAAAATGCCTTTATTTTCATAACGTAATCAATACGGAAGGTGGAAACAACTGTGCTTCTTTTCAAAGATGCCCAGTGAAGCAGGATTCTGTTGAATCTCAGCTGAAGCGGGTTGATGACACCAGAGTGGATGCTGATGACATTGTGGAGAAGATCCTGCAAAGTCAAGACTTCAGTCTCGACTCCAGCGCCGAAGGTGTGTGGGGAAACAGAGGCGTACGAGTGACGTGGCCCACAGCTGTGTCGGCGCTCGTGCTCGGGGTGGAGAACAGATGTGGCCCACAGCTGTGTCGGCACACGCGCTCGGGGTGGAGAACAGATGTGGTCCACAGCTGTATCCCCGGATGCGGTCGGGGTGGAGAACAGATGCGGTCCACAGTTGTGTCTGCGCTCGCGCTCGGGGTGGAGAACAGATGTGGCCCACAGCTGTATCCCCGGATGCGGTCGGGGTGAGCAGATGTGGTCCACAGTTGTGTCAGCGCACGCCGCCGTCAGGGTGGAGAACAGATGTGGTCCACAGCTGTGCCTGCATGCTCTGTCAGGGTGGAGAACAGATGTGGCACACAGCTGTGCCCGCGTGTGCTGTCAGGGTGGAGAACAGATGTGGCACACAGCTGTGCCCGCGTGCGTTGTCGGGGTGGAGAACAGATGTGGCACACACCTGTGTCAGCGCACGCGGTCCAGGTGGAGAACAGATACCACTGCATGTGTGTAAAGTCAACCCCGTGTCTGTCAAAGCAAAGAGAGCTTTGTAGCTTGTCTCTGACAAAGGCCGGTGACACTGGACAAAGGACAAACTGTAGTGAAGACATCAGCTGGAGGGGGCATGGTTCAGTAGTACAGCAGATTTCTGGGGGGTAGGAGGCCCCGGGCTCAGTCCCCACAGCTGGGGTGGGGGAGGGGAGCAGAGCTCAATTTTAAAGAAAGCTTTTGTGTCTGTATATGGCACTTTCTGACCCAGTTTGGAAGGCTGCGGTGGTGGTCCTGAGACAGGGGAGAATAGAATCCTGCAGTCTCTCGGCAGATCTCCTGCAGAAACGGAGAATTTATCCGCCACCAGCTTGAAAGGTGCAACTACGCAGGCTGGTGAAGTAGAGAGCGCGTAGCAGTGTGAAAGACTCCCCTGGGGCGTCTTCCCTCGGGAGAGGCCCCTGCGCCCCAAAGATCAGTCGAAAACACGCAGCCGGATGCAAACTGCAAGAGGTTTATTGGAGATACACAGGTGCCTGCGGGCGACAAGTCTCTCGGAGGGCTTGCGCGCCTGCAGGTTGGGGATGAGGGGTTTTTATAGGGGAGCAAAAGCGCGGGTACAGAAGCAGAAAAGCTTTCATTTCATTGGTCAGTTCAAATAAGGCTAAGCTGAGTGGCACATTCTTGACCTTTTACCTAAATACCAAGGAGGGGGTTGTCCAGACCCACCTGGATACCAAGGAGGGGGTTGTGCTACCTGTTTTTCTTATCTCTTCCTGCCTTCCTAGCTTGGCTGGCGACTCGATGTCTGATTTGCACAGCCCCTAGCTTGTGACGAGCCTTGCTCTGTACGTGACTCAGGCCTCGCAATCCTCTCTTCCTCCCTTAAAGTCTTTGTTCCTACTCATGTCAGTTCATAAATCTCCTGTCCTGCTGCCAGATAAGGCTGTCCTCGTTCTAATCTCAGGTGTCTTTGCTTTAGCATTCTGGAGGTCTTGAATTAAGCCTGTTATTTGTTCAGCACTCTGGAGGTCCTGACTCCGGAGGCCTTAATGGAGCTTGCTATCTGAAAACCTTTGCAGAGCGTTATAACTGTGGTTAAAGTTAAAACCATAGTTTTAACTGTGACCCCAATGAAGTTGGGGTCCTTCAAGTGGAGTGTTGGGTTGTGGAACTGGCTGGACATAGAAACAATTAAACCGCATGAAAATGCAGAGAAAGCTGTCACTCTGTCACTCCCGTTCAAAGAAAAAGAGCTTTGGGGAAGTTGGTGAGAAGGGGCTGTAAGCTCTCTTGGGGCTTTGATACCTTCAGTCAGTGCAAAATGTGGATTTCTACCGTACGTGTGCTTTCTGGCAGTCTTCGGAGAACTGTATGCTTAACAAGCTTTGCAATATATGTGTTGCAGAAGAAGGACTCAGGTTATTTGTGGGGCCTGGAGGAAGCACAACCTTTGGCAGCCATCACCTTCCAAACAGGTATGTCACCCCCCATAACACTCTGCCAAAACACAGTGATCCATGAGGAGAGGACACGTAGCTCGGTGTGGAAGAGCCTCGCAAGAGCGGAGCCTCGATTCAGCTGCAAGAGCAATAGAAACACGTGTGGTGGCTCACTCCTGTAATCCCAGTGCAAT